CCTAACAATAGAGGGAAAAAAAGGAAGTGTCGTTAGGAATGGAAATGCTTTCGCATCCAATTCACAAAGGGATACCTAAGTGCCCCTGTAATATTTTGTGTGGAGTAGAGCTCAAATAAACGCCGTACGGTGCAGTATATCCATGATTAAGTTGCTGCTAGTCGTGAGGCTTAATGTTTTGCACCAACAATACCGTAGCTTTTCCTCGATTGCGACGAAGTGCCACTGCGCTACGAACTTGCTAGAAATTTCTGCATATGTGACCACTTTCTTCTGGAAACCTATGGTGACCTGCCACTCACTTTTGGCCAAAGAACAGTGAAAATACCAGATGTGCAAACTGCCATAACAAGCATTAAAGTAATCAAGATGGGGGTCATAGCATTAGCTTCCCAACGTGGCGAGACTAGCACAGGATTTCTGTTACTCGCCGTTTAAGACAGGAGTCAACTTTTTCCGGTCTGATCTTGAAAACAAAGTTTGGTTCGGTTAATTTTGTAGCAGAAAGCCCGTGCTTTCCCGTTTGTGGGGTCATTTTCTCGGTTCAAAATATGATGCAGAGTCCTTCCCATAAAAATGCATGGGTGCCCGCTAGGACTCTTCGAAATGGTTAAATTAACTGAGGTCATTATACTCTGTTGCCACTCTAGAATAGCAGAAGGCCCTCCCACAAAGCCCCTCACTCTTTTTAATAAGCAAACACTAGAGAGGAGGAGAGCCGAGAGGACACCGCCAATCATGGCGAGCAAAGGGAATTGTGGCAGGGGCTTGTGCTATTCTATAGTTGCAACGGACTATAACAAACGTTTACAGTACTATGAAAACAAAAAGACCAAGTATGCACAGAAATTCGCAGGAAGTGTAGCAGGGACAGAATAGAAAAAACTGCAGCTGCAATATTTACCCTTTAAATTTCCCTCAACAGCACAGCAGAGATGACATGCTGGTCGGCAGCGCCTGGAGGGCCACCCCCTTGTACTGGGAGCACATGTAGTCTGAAACAAACAACAGACAAAAAATTAAATGCATGGACAATCCGCACATGCTGTTATTTCGCTTCATTGGCCGCTTCAGAGAAAGCAAGCATGCACTTGTCCAACCATGTCAACTGCTAGCCGAAACTTTCTGCCACCAGGATTAAGATATTGCTTGCGCTATAAAAAAAACATTTACACACTACCCAGCTGGCACGCTGAAAGTTCAAACATTGAAGAAAGTACAACAAAAAACTTCAATGCAAGAGCTACATCTCGTGGACAATACACAAAAGTATGTTCAGTGTAAACCTTGGTGCACCGCAAGGCTGATTTACCTCAGCCAGTTTGGAACATCTGCAGTTCCATTCTTTTCAAGATATTATGCCTGAAAATTTGTGACAAATTAACTGGGTTAAAAATTTTTAATCGACACCCGGCCCAAACATTTAGGAAGTATACTAGTGGGTTAATTTCTAACTTACCATAATTATTTTCGGCATCCTGAAGGCGTCGCTTCAGGGTCCAGTTTTCATATTGGATTTACCTCGCCCACACAGCTGCAACCACACTGAAATGTTTGCAAAGTTTCAGGCAGGGTAATTAAACGTCTGCAGTTTCTCTGGAACACCGCTGTCACAAATTTTGTCTTTTTTGTCATTTTGGTCTGTTTAAGGGTGGTTTGGGGGGAGGGTCAATTACAATCCTCGCACATGTTTACCTGAGCGTCAAAGGCTTGAGCTCGGATGAGGCTATACTCCTTTTCATACTTAAGGTGCAACGCTGTCAAAGCTACTGGCGCGACCGTGGGGCTTGATCTTGTTGATCATTTGAACGCCTTCTCGCGCAAGCAAAACCGTAGATGAAGCCACGCACTCGCGCCAGTAGCTTTGACAGCGTTGCACGCTAAGTATGAAACAGAGTATAATGCCGGCCGAGCTTCAAACCAATAGGAAGAGGAAGACAAGCGTTTCGGGTTGACCAATTACGAACCTGTGACAATTGCATAGGTCATTCAACACACGTCTTATACCGCTTAAACACTGTGTCGAACTGCATTTTGAAGTCAGTCCCAATTCCAACAATGTATGGACAGGGGCATTCATTTCGTGGCATGCCTTGAAATTAATCGAAGTGACGCAAGCTGGGAAGACACTGCTGCTGCTTCATTTGGGAATAACTGCGGCCCTCGGCTTGATCACATCACAATTGCAAAATTAAAGAGAAAAAAAAAAAGAAGCGAAAGGAAGAACTGCTTTATCAAAAGTTCTAACCGACAGATGTAAGCCCAGTTCAATTCTAGAAAGCCAGGGGACCGAAGTTTGTCCTAACAGTACAATTTAGTCCACTTCCATAACTTCAAAACAAAAGATGGATATCCTATTCAACCATTTTGACTGAAAAGGAATATTGTCTCTGCATGAACCGAATTCCAAGGAAGTCTAACTTCGGAAATGTAATGAAGTATTATCAATGCAATCAATTTATAGTTTAAAGACATCAGTACACTGCTAGACCAATAGGACATTTCCTAAAGCAACGGACTGAAAGTAGCATTAGGAATTCAATACGTGCTCTGTTGACATGAGCTACACTTTCTCGGACCATACACAGAATGAGTGGCAACTTTTACGCTACAAATAGATCCAAACATTAGGACAGATAAAGCAAACCCAACTAGTTAAAAAAAAAGAAAAAAAAAGAACATTGTAGCTTAACGAGAAAATAAGGAGTTTTAGAATATCGGGTGCCACTTTACCGCGCGTTGCGGACGGCAAAATAGCGAGGATTGCGGCGAAGAGTTTTAGAATAGCGTTTCTCTGAAGGGGACCCCCCCAAACGCAAGCATCTCGCGCTTAAAACGCCACCAAGATGTCGCGACAGCTTTTATTTGAAAGTTAGAACGTTTTATCTTGAAAATTAAACAAGCTTTTTGTCCAGAGTAACGTTTTTATAATTTTTTTTACACTCAATGGCCGCATGTTTTGTTTTTGTCGCTGCCAAGCTGCTCTGTTGTACTTACGAAGCCCAGACGATCCACTACCCAGGCATGCTTACATGTCTGCCGCGATCGTAAGTACACGCGCCTCGATAGCTTTGCGCCTCGATAGCTTTGAGCTGTGAATCCAGCGATCCGTGGCGTTTTCAGTACGCTTCGACCATACCGACCGCGGTCGCCGAGTGCGACTCACGCAGTTCCCGAGCGGGCGACGGCGTCGAAGACGCGATCAACAGAGATGTCGTGGGCGCCGCCTTTTGCGGTACCCACGCTATTATCGAGAAATAACGGACCCCGAAGCTCGAGTCCGAAGCTTGTTTTGGGTCTGCGCATGCACAGCAGCCACGAGATTATTCTAAAACTCCATAATGTTCACTTCTCGTTCAACGCGTACAATGCAAACAAAGAAGTATGCTTACCATCTGCGTTGAGTTGCTCGTTCTGTCGCGTCGTCGGCCTTCCGCGCTCTTCTTGAACATAATCATCACAAGAGAAAACTTCACAGATAGATAAACTTGATTAAATTAGCACATTTCCATGTCCAAAGGCATTTCCATCCCGCGACACACCCAACGGTCGCAAAACTGGCGAAACTGGGCGAAACTGGCGAAACCATGCCGGAAAAAGCAAAAAAAAACAAAGAACTGGTGTCGCTACCGATGGGGCGTCGAAGACGCGATCCTTAAAATATGAAACCGAAACCAGTAAAAGTTACAATACTGAAACCGAAACTGACCAAATCGCGATAGAGGGGCGCCGTAAATAGATCTGTTCACATGATGCATCTTCTTGGCGAATCTTGTGTCGCGAAACTAGATTTCGGGAAACAGATTCCCCGTCTGAACGCAACCGAAAAAGTGGCGCGCCTTCGAAAAAAGTGGCGAGTGTTTCTCGCTTCTGGAGCAATTTTTCGCTGAAACCTCACCGACGCCCGTCAATCTCCCGAAGGAAAAACGCGGACGCTGCCAATGGCCGCTCGACTTCGCTATGACGTCTGACCTTCGAGGAGGAGCGAGCTTTTGGAGGAGTCTGATTTTTGGCCGATTCCGTATCCGAGCCGAAGCCGAAAGAAAACAAAACAAACATGTCGAGCGACAAGCCCCTATGCGACAAGCGGCGAAGCGGTGCATACGGGCGACGAGTCTTGGTCCTACCCGGTTGCAGGTGAGTGAACGGCGCCTACAGTACGGATTGGGGCCGCGGTGCAGATTCGTCAACAGTCGCGGCGGGTGCAAGCACTGTATATAAACATGATGACTGGGTATAACGTTCTTTATTAGCGGTGCAAAAATGTCCGAAATGCTTCGAGATCATCTCGCGGTTTTTCCCGGATTTGGCAGGACTAGTAAACCCGTTCAGCTGAATCTGACGAAATTCATTGAGTGGCATTAATAAAACAGGCTGTCTCTTCACACTGTGCGTACTTCATATCATTTTGATGCGAGACGCTTAATATTCCCGGTGCAGACAAGGTTTGGCGAAATTCTCGTGAGTCAATACGTCACAGGTTTCGCGCGTCAAACTCCACGTGTGAACAGGCCGATTTCGCGAAATCGTGGTTTCGCTAAACTGTGGCGCGTTGAAGACATACATTGTTTGAATAAGCCTTTAAAAGTAAAAGAGGGTGAATACAGTTATTATTTTAAGCACAGGAAATAAATCTGTATATCAGAACTAGCACCGACGCGCTATTTGCTTCGGGTGCAATGCAGTAGGGAGTAGATTAATTGATTTTTTTTTTGATAACACCCATTTCAATGTGTAATGAGTAAACACAAAAGAATTGATATTGATTGGGTAACGATAAACCTCACTTGAATTTGTAATGAGTAAACTCAAAAGAATTGATATTGATTGGGTAACGATAAACCTCACTTGAATTTGTAATGAGTAAATTCAAAAGAATAGATATGGAGTGGGTAATGATAAAACTCATTTAACGATGAGTTTCTTATGAGTTTCATTTGACTCTATAAAAACACATTAGAAGCTCAATTGAAACTCATTGTTCATTTTTGTAAGGGCAGCTTGCCTGCGGCGAGATAAACGCCCGTCTAGAGCAGTATCAGGAACATGGGTCGGGTTTCGCGCTCATCGCCATCCAACAATGTAGCATCACAGTTGGACGTTTCATTCCCCAGACGGTCGGATGTCAAAGTTTCACTTTGCAGAAGGAACTGGCAGAAAAACAGTGTATTTTGAAAGTGAACGAACGCAATAAGAACTCCGAAAGAAAAATGTTCTTCACCTTTTCCTTGCTTGCGGGGTTGCATCACACTCAACATAAAACGAGAACTTCCTCATACAGGGACCATCTGAGCACATACTCGTTTCCTATAAACTATCCAGTGACGCTTCCAGAAGACGTAGAGTTTTTCGAAAGAAAAAATCACGTGTCCATCAACGTGTACGGTTACGAACAGGAAAAGAAGTTTGTCTATCCTCTCAAAATCAACGATCACGAGTTGGAAAAGCATGTAGATTTGCTTTTGATTGACGACCACTTTGTCCCCATTACCAACTTCGCCGGGCTTTTCGAAAACAGGGCAAGCTACCGACTCCGTTGTAAAAGATGCATGATGGGTTTTCGTTTTCGGACTTCTCTAACCAGTCATTTCGCCTTGTGTAAAGAAAAAAAGCGAGTCCGAACGGTGTCTCCTAAAAAAGGGGACGCGCTTTATTTCCGTAACACACACCTCATGGAGCCTTTCTCATACTTCTGCGTCTACGACTTTGAGGCCATCTTGAAACCGGAAAACACGGGTCACGTTTACGAGAGTCACGCACCCAGCTCGTTTTGTATTCTAGTGATTCGTTCTACAGACTCACGAATCATGGAACATTTCTTGTATCGAGGCGAGGATTGTGTCGAGCAGTTCATTTCCATTCTCAATCAAATGTCCAAACTCATCCCCGAGTGGATTAGGAGCGATCTCACGACGGTCAAAAAGACACAGAACTCCGACAGTCACTGTGATGTATGTGGCGAGTCGTTCGACAGACGTAAAAGAAAGGACAACGATAATTTTACCGGACCTTACAGGCTGTGCCAAGGCTGTAATTTAAACGACAGGAATAACAAAAAAGTCATTCCCCTGGTTGCACACAACCACTCGCACGACCTTGCCTTCATTTTACCGAAACTACATTTATTCGAGTCGAAAGATATCAAGGTTCTCGCCAGTAGCTGTCAACAGTTTAAGCGACTCGACGTGGGTAACCTACGGTTTCTCGGCAGTCTAGCTTTCCTCCCCGCGAGCTTGAACGCACTTGTGCAGGGCCTCCATTCCAAAGGCTTGGAAAACTTTCGCTGCCTTCGTGAAGCGTTTCCTCAACATATTGAGTTGCTGGCACGTAAGGGTGTGTTTCCCCACGATTACATAACCGACTTCAGCGTCTACGATGAGCCCGAGTTGCCACCACGTGAGTCGTTTTACAACAAGCTTAACGACGCTCACATTTCTGAGAAGGATTATCACCATGCCCAGGTCGTTTTTGACACGTTCAAGTTCAAAAACGTGGGAGAGTACAGTGACTGCTATTTGAAACTCGACTGCTTACTTCTATCCGACGTAATGCAAAATTTTAGGAAATGGACCCTGGAAACCTACGAGATCGATCCCCTGCGTTTCGTGTCGCTTCCTGGCCTCAGCTTGGCCTGTGCGCATTAAGCAAACAAAGGTCAAACTTGAATTGCTCAACGACGTCGACGCACATCTTTTTATCGAATCGGGTTTACGAGGAGGAATCATGCAATGTGCAGTTCGACATGCGAGAGCTAACGTTCCAACCAGCGACTCGTTCGATCCTAACAAAGAAGCTTCTCAAATGTTCAACCTCGATGTGAACGGTCTTTACGCGTCAACGATGAGACAACCGCTTCCGTACGGCAATTTCCGATGGCTCAATCGCGAAGAAATCAATGCCTTTCAGCTCGCTCGGGTTTCAGACGACTCATTCGCTAGTTACATCTTGGAGGTAGACCTAGACTATCCAGAGGAACTACACGACTCGCATGCAGACTTTCATTTGGCTCCGAAAAAACAAGGGGTTTCTTCCGAATGGCTTTCGTCGTATCAAAAGGCGCTAGTAAATAGTTCTACCTACCCGAGAAAGAATCTGAACGTAAGCTTCTTTAAACCCTATTTCCCAAACGTAATTACATTATTCATTTCCGAAACCCAAAGTTGTACCTACAGCTAGTGTTAAATCTAAAGAAGTTTTATCGCGTCCTTCAGTTCTCCCATTGAGCCTTTCTAAGAGAATTTACCGACTTTAATCACAACCTGCGCAAGCAGGCTACCAGCACCTTTTAAAAAAAACCTCCCAAAGCTCTTTATGAACTCGATCTACAGAAAGGCGATTTAAAATCTTCACTAGCACAACGAGATTGTCATTAGCGTTTGCGAGAACGAAGTAGTAAAATATATGCAAAAACTTAACCTTAGGCAATTTACGGCGATCGGTCCGTACGTGGTCTTATTTCAATTTTTGCAGAAAACTTTGCATTTGAACAAGTCACATACGCAGGTTCCTCTATCCTAAAGATGTCTAAGATCGTCATGGATGATTTCTTTTATAGTCATATCAGGAGAATTTACCCGGATGCTCTCACTGCAAATAGCAACACAGGTTCACGTATCCTCCGAATCAGCGGTCGGACGTTGACGAGAGGTTTGCAGACATTACCAAGAGCCACCTAGATACTTCCGGTTACCTGTCCCAGCATGCCTATTCGCTTCGAAACAAAATGCGACTTGGAGTTTTCGAAAAAACCTGCCGAAAAACCACATTCTAGGATTTGTCTGTCTCAAATCAAACACCCATGCGCTCGATCTAGAGATTGAAAAACTCTGTGTCAGGGCAAAAGTAGGAAAAAGATGCGAGTCACCGTAAGCTAACTAGCGATTTTTACCTTCAGACTCTCAAGACCCAAACTCTGCACACTATCACCCAAAGAGTCATTGCTCGTAAGCAAAATGAAAACAAACGTTTCGTCGTAGAAAATATTGGATTGAACCCCTTCGACAAAAAGCGTCTTATTGAATACAACGAGCTTTCAACACTTCCTTGCGGACATTTCAAACTCGGGGAAATGTCGTCCTCTGAGGCAACCGGGTGTGTTCAGGAAAAGTGTCATTATGACGGTGTATTTATTTTAGGAGTGAGCATTGATCTGTTTCGAATATTCGACATGTTACCCCTCGCCTTATGTACTCAATAAAAATGTAATTCCGACACGGTATTTTTATTATTTTCAGAGTGTATATATTGAAATGTTTTTTTTTTTAAATCTGACTCTTGAAAATGTTACTCCACGATAAAATCTCATCATTTTAATGTAATCTTATAAATTGTTATACTGAAATTGTTTATTCATGTCTGTTTTTATGTAGACCGTTTACAATGCGTATGACTGCATCTAATAAAACTATTCAGGCTTTACGTTTTCTGTTTTTTTTATATTTCACTAAGATGAGATTCCCAAACGCTGCAGCAGGATAGCATTAACTTGGGAGATAAACATATTTTCCGCAAAACTACAGGTACCGAACGGTCGTTCCATCGATGATCGGTTGGCGAGAACGTCTTCGTGCGTTTGGGGAGTGGTACACCGCAACACAGAAGAGCGTCGACGTATGGACAATGAAGTCCACAGGCACTTGGCTTGAATTCTTGAATTCTCTTTTAGTTGTAGAAGAAGCTGGAAAGGTTTCGGATTAATTCATACAATTCTTCGTGTATTGGAGTCGTACCGAAACTGTCAAAATAACTTATCGCATTGTCCTTTAGACATAAAAAAAGAGAACTATAGTGTTTGCAAGAAGGTGATCTCGGTGCTGTGTGAAGCACGTAAAGACCCTGGGTTGGTCTCTCGTGGCTAATCTCGTCGCACGAAAAAGTACCGCGAAACCAGGGACGCGTACACTAGTTCCAATCAAACATCGGATAAAATTCATGGTCTTCCATTTCTTCAATTAGCGATCCTGACCCCCGACTGCTTGCCAATTTCCAAAACTCGTGGTTTTTCTCACATAAACAAAATCGTGACTGACTTATTTAGGTCCTTCTTGAACGTCAGGGTGAGTCTCACATCGGGGTAGAGGATCTGACATAAACTATGATCTTCCTTGTTGTGCATTAACATGTAGTAGAGAAGAAAATAGTCTTATGAGAAAGCGCCTTTATAGAGCGGAAGGTCTTTTCGATTGGGTCGATGCAGGAAGTTCATATAGGCCCTTTGTAGTGGTTTTAGTACATGAACACAAAGCGGTGCCAAAAGCCGGCGCCGCCATGTTGCACGCTCTGGCGTGCGCGCGTGATACCCCACGATAAGCCCGTGATAAAGGAGATCGTGCTTGAATTCGGACGGGGCTGGTCGTGTCTGTTTTTTGATCCTGAGCCGGCATTCTCGGACCCACAGAATATTACAATGGCGGCGAGGATGGGATACGAGAAGGCGACGAGGTAAAAATTTTTTTCCTTCCCAGATCCGTCCCCTCCTAGCATGATCTCCACGCCCGATCACTGCGCATAACGTCTGGTTTTAGTTCAAGCCAACCACCCGCTGCTTCACAGTCTTTCCTTCGATTTGCATTGTCAACCACCATGTCGGTAGCAATCTTGCAATTTCTCTAACGGTAGGCTTCGACCCTCAGCGTGCTTTGACTATTTCCATTTCCGTGGTTTCTTTTAACATTTGACCATCCTGACTCAAAATATCGCTTTTGGAACGGCGATTGTGCCGCCGCCACCCGTCTATCTACCTGTTCCCGACACGCCCACCCTTGCGTGGCCCGCATGGAAGCATGCCTTCACCGCTTTTCTTGGCGCTTCGGGTTTCGAACAGATGGAACAGCGTCGTAAAAAACAACTCCTGTTTTCGTTGCACGGCACGGAAGGCCAGCGTGTGGTTGACGCATTCCGCTTGGACGATGCACCGGAGACTGAGCTCAATGACGACTATGAAATATTTTTGGAGAAGTTAGAAAAACACTTTGAGTTCTCGTGGTCCGTAACACTGGAAAGAAAGAAACTCCGTGCTAGAGTCCAACGTCCCGGCGAATCAGTCTCCGAATACCTCGCCGCATTACGTCATCAAGGCTCTTTCTGTAGCTACGGCGCTACGTTAGACGAACGCCTGTGTGAAATCTTTTTGGAGGGGTTGGATTCGAAGAGAGTTCAGGACCGCATTTTACGTGAATGCGTCGGAGCCGAGGTACCCACCCTGGACAGAGCGTTCCAGCTCGCAATACAATTTGAACAACTGGCGAAAACGACTGAATCGTTTCAACGCCAGACGAGCGCGGTGTCGTCTTTCCCTGTTAACGACGGAAGCCGCGGTTTGGAACCGGCAGCGGTCCAAGATATTCATGCGTATGCTCAGTGGCGTGAGAATCAAGATGGCGGAGCTTCCGTGTTGCCCGCCCAACTCTATCACCAACATGGTCACCCTCCGTGGTCTTCCACCGGGATCACCCCGTCGGCGCGAGGTCCCGGGGTGCCGTGGGGTCAAACATCGTCTGACGGCCACCTTCCCAGTTTCCAAGGGCGGGCAAGGTGGCCAACAGTCCGCGAGCCTCCTTACCGGGCGAGGGAGAAAGAAGATGCAAGCTCTCTCTGTGCGTGCTTGTTCTGTGGCCGGCGCGACCATGCTTGCGAGTTCTGCCCGGCACGGAACGCGACGTGCTTTCTGTGTGGGAAGCAGGGACATTTTGCTCTGGTTTGCCGCAGTCGTCAAGCACAGTCAGCAGCATTCATTAACGATGAACGGCAAGCATCATTTCCAGTGCGGGGTCGAGGACAACCCTGGTGCCGTGGACAACTTGCCGGACGCTACCAGAGCGGCCGTTTTTATCGACGAGACGGATCGACCCATGTGGGAACTGTCCATCAGGAAGTCCTGCCGAGTGTGACGTTTGACCAGCACGAGGTGTCGGTGCAGTCTACGGATCGCCTCGCACGCGACACGGGTCTCCGCAACGTGTTCTTGGCAGATGTCCAGGTAAATGGCACCCCTCTCAAGCTTCTTATTGATACCGAATCTTACGTCTCGATTTTGAACGAACAAAAATTTAATCATGTAAACAGGAAACGTAAGATTAGGCTTCATCGTCCACCAAGAACCTTAGTGCATTATCTGCAACAGCCCATCCCCGTACAGGGATGTTTCTTTGGACAAGTGGTTTTCAAGAACCGATACGCGCCGCTGGAATTTTACGTGACGCGTACGGGACGATCATTGCTTGGAACCGACGCAGTGCGCGAGTTGAGCATGACCTTATCTGGAGCTGAGTACGATTGTTCCTATGTGAATGCAGCTGTAAGTGGAGCAGAGCTACCTCGGAATGCAGGGCCGGCTGGCACTCCGCCACCAAGTCACCAACCTCCAGTTACATCTAGCAACAACCATCCATCTTCAGTACCGTCGGGTGCCTACGTATCCAGACCACTACAACCTTCTTATAAGAAACAAACAGCTCCCAAAGTCTTCGAAGAGTGTGACCACAGACCGTCGGCCAACTGCAGTCCAGATAGTCATCGTGCAAGTCAGTGTGGAGCCAGTGGTCCAGAGCGTCAACCTGAAGATCAGCGTGGTTGCAGTGTTCCACAACGTCATACTGATCTTCCTGATCCTCAAAGTAGAAAGTTATACCAAAAGCCTATTCCT